AGAAATTAAGAAGATATCTTCTCACAGTTAACTTCTCTTCTGATAAATATATTCATAAAAGATAAAGAAGAGAAAGAAATAAAGAATTGATAATTCTCATATCTTCAAGTTCATATTACAATCATAATATATACTCTGAATAGAGAGATATCAGTGAGATGCCTACTCAACTTCAGAGTAAATATCAACTTCATATTCTATTTCTTTTCTTTGATAAAGAGTTGAAAGAAGATAGATCTGTCAGATCATATAAAATTTACTGATGAAATGAAATATCATTATTTTGACATAATTCAAGTGAAGTGTGTGATCACAGACTTAGAAGAAATCTTCAAGAAAAGCAGTCTGCTTCTTCACACAGTCAATATCATAGATAAGAACATCATTCTAAATCTTTCATAGTTGAGAGAAAACAATCCTCTCATTGACTAAGTCACTCAGATGTGATGATACTGTCTCACTAATGAAGAGACAGTAATAGAGAAATCTGAAGAGTTTCATCAGAAGAATCTTGAGAAAAAGATTGAGTCAATATACTGTATAGCAGATGATTGAGACTTAAGAATAGATAGAGAAGTTATCACTCTCACTGCAAGATTAACAGCAGTATTCATCATTGAAGATGAATGTATACAACATTTCTTTACAGATTTTAAGAATGTCTTTTTGAAAAGAAAAGCAGTGAAGTTTTCTGATATCAAGATATAATATAAGATTCATCTTGAAGATGATACAACAGCACTGTACAGACTCTTTTACAACTTATCTGTAAAGAAATTAAATATTCTGTATAAATATCTTGAAGAAGTGCAATCAAAGAACTGAATATATTCATCAAAGAGTCTGACAGAGACATCTATACTCTTTATACTTAAGAAGAATGATAGACTATGTCTATGCATAGACTACAGAGACCATAATAAGATAACAGTTAAGAATTACTATTTATTACTGCTAATTAATGAGATAATCAATTGATTATCTAAAGCAAAGATATTCTCAAAGATTGATATATAAGATGTCTATCATAGAATTAGAGTTAATGAAGATGATGTTTGAAAAATGACTTTTTATACCAAGTACAGCAATTTTGAATATCTTGTTTTATCTTTTGATCTTTGTAACACTTCAGTCATCTTCCAGGCCTATATAAATAAGATGCTGCAGGGCCTTGTCAACATCTCCTGCATAGTATACCTGGATGACATTCTAATCTTCTCAAAATCAGAGAAAGAATATGATACTCATGTTTGAGAAGTATTAAGTCACTTGAGACAGTATCAACTCTATACAAATACTGAAAAATGCTCATTTTACATGCAGGAGATTGATTTCTTAGATTATATTATTGAGATGAACAGCATTTTAATAAACAGGAGTCAGGTCTTCATCATTGAGAACTGACTGATGCCGCGAATGTACTGCAAGATGCAGATGTTTCTAGAATTTGCAAATTTCTACAGATAATTCATCTATGCATATTCACAGATTACTGTCTCTCTTACAGATCTGTTAAAGAGAAGTGTGAAAGACAGAAAAATAAGACTGTTTACTCTCACTCAAGACATTATACAGATGTTTATGGAATTAAAACAAGCTTTTACAGATGTCATGATACTGAATCACTTTAATCTCAATTTACTCAGTCAGTGTGAGACTGATGCATCTGAGAATGAGATCTGTGAAATCTTTTCACAGTTGACACTGAAGACCTTTCAATATTGAAAGAATCAGAGAATAATTATCTCTGAGAAAACAGATAATGAATTGTCTGTGAAAGAAGACTTTTTTACAGAGTCTATAAGATGCTGTGAATGAAGATTAGTGACCTTCTTCTTCAAGAAGTTATCACTCATGCAGAGAAGGTATGATATTTATGATCAGAAGATGTTAGCAATTATTGAATTCTTTAAAATCTGACAACATTATCTCCAGAGTAATAGGTATTCAGTGTAAGTTCTCACTGATTATGTAAATCTATGTTACTTCTTGACAACAAAGAGCTTGATAGAATGTCAAGCCAGATGAGCAGAGCTGCTTTCAGAGTATGATTTCTATATTCAATATCATTCAGATCAGCTTAACCTCGCTGACACATTATCTAGATGATCTGATTATAATATTATTGATGCAGAGAAGAATTCTATAAAAGAATCTCTGTTATCACTGCAGAAGAAGCTGGCTGCAGAGGGTTAAGATTCTCTGAAGCTTGGAAACAGTGTCAGTAAGATAGCTGCATGACTCAGTATAGAAGATGAAAGAAAACCTGAGTCTCTGCAGAGAACTGACACTGAAGATCATGAGCTTCTTATATCATATCTTATAATCATTGAATTAACAAAGAATGAAACAGTCTACAATCTTTGAATCTGACTACTTTTGAAATTCATTGATAAGTTACAGAAGAGAGACATCTCTACTACAGCTTAAATTCAGAAGTTGAAGAAGAAAGAATTCAGTTTAAACTTGAAAGAGACAGACTCTGAGTAAGGTGATACTGCTAAGAAACCAAGTCACTGATAACTAGGAGAATGTGAACTTCTACTGCTGAATAATTCAGTCTTCATCTCTCATAGTAGAGCAGTGCACTAGAAGTTATTGAGAATTCTTCATAATAATCTTCATACAGGGCACTTCAGGTTAGAGAAGACTGAGAAGCTTCTAAAATGTAAATATATTTGAGACAAGCTTCACACAGATGTCAAAGAGTATATTGAGACTTGTGATATCTGTCAAAGAATAAAGATTCTGCAGTATAAGTAATATAATGAGTTGATATCACTATCTGTTTCAAAGAGCTCATGACAGAATCTATCAATGAATTTCATAGTTGACCTGCTAAAGTCAACAAGAGTCAAAGAATATGACTTAATTTTAATCATTGTTAACTGCTTTACAAAGATGATCAGATATATCTCTATTCATAAAAAGATTAAAGCCTCTGAATTAACTGATCTGTTTTTAGATATCATCATTTATAATCACAGTGCTTCAAAATCATTGATAACAGATCAAGAATCTCTCTTCATCAGCAAATACTGATTGACTTTTTACTATTATCTTATGATGAGATGTCTCCTCAGTATCACATTTTATCTGCAGATAGATGGCCAGACCGAACATCAGAATCAGACACTAGAACAGTATCTTTAAGTATTCTATTCATATCATTAGAATGATTAACTCAAATATCTTCTGATCACTGAATTTGTATATAATAATGCAAAGAATGCAATCTTAAAGATATCTTCTTTCTATACTTATTATGAATACAATTCTTCATTACTCAGTGACATCACAGACAATGTTTCAAAGAGAGAGATAGATAGTCAGAATGTTGAACAGATACAGAGAACAGAGTATTTCTCAGTGTCAGAAGTAAAAGTGAGATTAAAACTTGTAAACAAAATTTATAAGAAGACAGTGAAAAGTATTCATCACATTCAGAAGCAGCAGATGAAATACTATAATTGAAAACATCTTTCAATGAAGTTCTTAATAGAGAATTAAGTGCTACTTTTAGCAAAGAATATCAAGACAATGAGACTGTGTAAGAAGCTCAGTGAGTAGTGACTAGAACCTTTCTCAGTAATAAGAGTAATGAATAAGCAGATATATGAGTTGAAATTACTCACAGAATTGAAATCAATTCATTCTATTTTTCACATTTTCTATTTAAAGCTCTATAAGCAATACTCTGAAGCAGAGCTATCTCAGCTGAATAATATTAAAATAGAGAATGATACTGAATATCTTATAAAGAAAATATTGAATAAGTAAACATATTACAGCAAGCTTCAATATCTTGTGAAATAAGAAGATTACTTATTATCAGAGAATTTATGAGAATCACTTGAGCATTTGAAAAATGCTGAGAAAGAGATTGTAAGCTATGAGATGACTAGTAGAGACTACTCTGTTACACATCAGAGACATTGAACAAGAAATACTGCTTAAGACTTCTCATTTTTCTCAAAGGATTTTTTAGAGATAATCTTGCAGTTATGAGTCAGTGTCTTGTGAGCTCTGTAGCACTGTTCTTCTATTTTCTCTTAAAGAATTTTTTAGAAGTTTAATGAGACTACACAAGTGTAAAATTCCTGAAGCAGTTAATAAGAAAAGAAAGAAATATTTGAAATTAATAAAGATTAATATTATTGATCTGCAGACTGCTGCTATTCTAATGAGACTGCAGCCTGCTGAAAGAGTAAAAAGAGAGAAATTTCAGAATCTACTTATCAAGAATTATATTCTCATCAAACTCATTCTTCACTGTTGAAGTCTTCAGTATTAGCATCTTTATCTGCTGAGAAGTTAGCACTGCAGCACTGTAGAAGAGCATGAGAAATGTATAAAATATCAATTTATCAACTTACAAAGTATCTCAGTCATCTACTTCAATTGAAGTGAGATTCTCTCTAATCAGTGATTGATCTTCATAGTGCTTTTAACAGCAGTGCTGACTGATCTCTTCTTGAGATCAGTCATTCTGAGATGTTTTTTCATCTCAGAGATTCATGCTTTTGCCTTCTTTTACAGATGAGCAAGAGAGATCTCTTCAGCCTTGACAGAATTCATCAATACTTGAAGCTCTGAGACTCTCACTCTGTACTGCTTGAGCATCTAGACTTCTAGTCAGAGCTGACATGATGTCTTTCTGTGAGATAATACTTACAGAGAGACAGGAGTTATTGTTACAGATATAACAGAAATAATAAGAGTAAGAGAAGAGATAAGTATATAAAATCTCTCTCTTCTTCAGCTGCTTGACACAGTGCAGATAAGTAGTAGTGTCAGTCAGAGACCACACTGAAGCCTCTTCACAGAGAGAGAATGAAGAAACTATGAGACTCTGCAGACTCAACTCAGCAGCAGCCTGAGCAGGGCTCAGGCATGTCATGAAAGAGAAACTACAGATTGAGCTTCTCAGAGCCACTGTCCCCAGAATCAAGCTCTCCCCAGGTTTCTCTCTGAATGACTACACAGGGTCATACACCACCATGCTGGCTGAGGGGGGGGGCAGTATTGCAATGGTAGTGAGAGAGGCAGAGAAAGAACTGAACATGAATAAACTGACTGACAGAAGAGATGACACCTCACTGCAAGGTATGATGACTATTATCACAGCTGCAAGAGAAGCAGGAGAAGAAGAAGAAGAAGATGTGACAATGAGAGCAGTGCTTCTGCAGTCTATTAACATCACTGTCTCTGTCTTCAACCTGGCTTTCTTGACAGTCACAGAGGCCGCAGCCACATCATGAAGATGTTTATTACTCACTAGAAAATGTCAGAATAAGTTCTTTATTATTCTTCAAGAATGATACTCTCATGCACTCACTGTTGTAATTGAGAAAGAGAAAAGAAAAATGTTTCATAGAGAAGAGAATCTTTTTAAAAAATTCTGTCACTACTGTTAGCTTTGTTTCTAAAAACACATCACTTTTGCAGAGAATTTCATATATAGAATAAAATATATTGAGAGATCTGTAAGTCACTTATTAACTACATTTTTCACATTCTAAATTGATATATAAGGAACTCACTTATCACATGTTTGATTTGAATGAAGATGAGAAAAGAAAGACCTACACAGTCAGCAGAAAAACTCATCTATTTCTTTGTATCATGCACAGCACATGTGCTGTCAATCAGTTGATAACTGTTGCTATACAACAAAGATAATTTCTAATTCAGTAATCTTAAGAGCATCAGAACTATGTTCTTAAAGAAAAGAACATTGTCACACTTCTGACTGTGTCAAGACTCTGTTGTGATTTCACACAGCTTATTAATCTCATGTGAATGATTTCATTCTGTCTGAACTAGTTTTCAATCACTCTATGACATTATTCAGATATATCATAGAAAGATCTGATTGATAAATATGAGAACCTCACTTCTATATGAGATCAGCAGATTACTCTTCCTTGATAATAAGATACTGCTGAGGTATTACTCCAGCTATTCTTACTTGTGAAATGAGAGAAGAGTATTCACTCATTGTCTATATAGAATAGCTAGATACTGGCTCTCTATCAAAGAAGTCAGTGATTTGTCTTTCTTCTACTGAAATATATACAAGAGTTACTATGTGCCTCATACAATCTTTTTAGTATACTAAGTATCACATCTGTGATATCCTCACAATAACTCTGTAGTCTATGAGCTTGCTATTCAAGCAAGATAGTCAAGCTCACTTATACAGCTTCTCAAACAACTATCTGTACATGACATCACTGACTAGTCACTGCTTCAGCTTCAGCACGTTACAATTAATCAGACTGATGAAATAGATTGATACATGATTCTGCTATCAGTAATTCTTTCAGTGACTTCTTTTTCTGAGCATTTCATAGATGTTAACAGAGATCTGTGTCAGATCAATAGTCTTATGAATGTCATCTTTGTGAATTCTATCATTATTAGAGAATATCAAGCTTCTCTTTCAAGTATTTAATAGGATGCCTTGTTCAGATAGTCAGGTAAGTTCTAATATAAGATTGTAATCAAGATTATTAACTTCATATGCATAGGCATCTTCACATTGATGTTCTCTCACATCTATGGTCAGCTTCATCATATAACAGGTACAAATGTCTTTTGAATCATCAAATCCTGCAAGAAGTTGAGGTTTTGATAAAGAAATATGCTGAAGATTATGACATCTTACAACTGAAGATTTTATCATTACATAGTAATATAGATCACTGTCTATCATGACTTTCATATTATACATGTTATCAATCACAGTAGATACAAGAATTGCATTTATTATTATCTTCTCTTCAAATTATTGTTATCTGACCTCTTTAAGCTTCTGTTTGTGAATTTGAACAGAAGGTAATCTTTTCCCTGTTTCACTGAGGTATTCTTATAGTTATCTTTCAAATCTTCCTCTAATGTAATGTGATTGATGTGAACAGATACTGATTCATTCTTTGAACAAGAAGGCACTGATCTTTCTCTCAAGTATGAAGACACATAGATTGATCAGCAGTTGAAAGCAATGTGTCCTGATCAGTTACAGTTGATGTACACTTCACATTGACATCAATCAGTAACTTCTTCAGGAGTGATCTCAGGGACTTGAAAGCCTGTTCAGATAGCAGAGATCCTTGCTTATGTGTAGACATTTGAGTCTACTCAATTCATGGCATCTGCATCATTGTTATTCCTCAGTGCAGGTGTATAAGTCACTGAGATGTAACATCTTCTGTCACTGTTCTGTATATTTCTGAGCTTGATAAGACAGTCATTCATTGTCTGAAGCTGTGTGCAGAAGTCTTTATAAGTCTGGTCTTCACCTGCACTTATAAGAGTCTGTAAGAGTTTAAAAGTTAATGTCTTCTTGAGCATGCTAATCTTTATTCAATTCTCTTAAGATTAATCACCTGCTTCTAGAATCTTGATGTTGAAGTCAGAGATGAATGTTGTAAGAGAAGTGTTCCTCTGTTGAGTACTCTGTAACTAATCTAATGCTTTCTGTTACATGACAGTGTCTTAGAACAGAATATTAAGATATTTCATGATATTATCAGGTGTTTGCAACACTGATTCACATGCTTTCATTCATGAATGAAACTTCTGTTTCATACAATCTTTCAATTGTTCATTGATATATCAATCTTGATTAGTTAATGAACTGATGACATCTTTATTTACACTCAGTTTTGTGAGCATTTTCATTCTTCATGATGAGTAGAGAGTGAGATCAGAAGTATTAAAATATGCAGAAGTATTCAAGCATTCTTTCAGTGCTTTTATATTTAATTCTGTAGATGTTGAAATCACATGAGTTAATTGTTGAATCTCTTCATATTGAAGTTATTGAGTCATATGCATGTCTGCTATCTATTGCTGTTATAATTTCAACATTGCTTAGAGTCACTGTGACATTACATCTATGCTCACATTTGAGGGTTTCATATTATCATTAGACATGGTTATATTGATTGTCAGATGTATGATATCTGTGAAATCTGAAGAAATGTAATCATATTCTCATATATCTGAGTGTCAGAACTCTCAGGTCTTTCACTGATATTCTCTTATAAGATCTTTATTACAGGGTCAGAATGACTGGTGAGCAAGCTTCTATCTGAGAACTCAGTGTTCACTTAACTGTGTTTTCTCTTTCTTACATGTTATTACATGTTCATATATCTCTCAATGAATAATCATTTCTAATGAGAAGATGATTAATGTTTTTATAGTGTAAGAGGCCTACACTGAATAGATCAGTATAATATTGATAGGTCTTATATAACAAAGATAAAAACATTAGAGAAGGAAAGAAAGAGAAAGTGTGAGAATCAGTGATCAAGGTGGATATTTATACATGTATGTGGTGGTGTACGCGGTGGAGCTTCGGGGCGGAAGAATATACACGCGTTCGTAGCAGCCGAGGATCAGCGATTGAGAAAGGCTGAGAATCAGAGTGTACGCGTTTGAGAATGAAGTGATTGGAATCTGTGAAGTGTAATGAAATAGTCTATATGATTGATCGGGCGCAGCCCGCCACATGATTGAATAAGGACTGAGAATATTATTACATGTTTTCTCAGTGTGAGAAAAGTCTTCTCACACACAGTATTTTAGATAATTGAACAAAACTTCTTCTTTTACAGATTTGTATTCATTTCTCTTAAGAGATCTGAGAGTGATATAGATATTTATATAAAATCCTTGATGAATCTGCAGTAATATAAGATTAACTTAAGAAACTGTTATACATGATGTACATTTCTCAGCTGCAGTCAATTCACTATGACATTCAATTTCTCTGAAATGAGATGTATACAGTTATTACTTACTATATATTCTATAAACTTCAACTCTTCTATTCTAAACACATACTTTATTAGTTTAATATAGAGCTTATACTCTGTCAGAGTTGTAAACACTTCATTGAGATGCTTCAGATATTCATTATATAAGTTTGAAAAGACTAGAATGTTATTAAGATATACAAGATATAAGATTTCAATCTGTTTATGAAGAATTATATTCATCATTATTTAAAAGATGACAGATACATTTGTCAGATTAAATAATATTATCAGGAATTTAAACTTCTCTCATTATATATTAAACACAGTTTGCAGGACTGATAGTTCATCTATATAAATCTGTCAGTATTCTGAGAGAAGATTGATCTTTAATAGATATCAGATGTTTTCAATTATATTCAACTATTATTAAATTCATAACAGTGAATATTCATTCTTGATTGTAAGCTTATTAAATACTTGATAATCAATACACATTCACTACTTCTCATCTGCCTTTTTCATGAATAGAACTGGAAAGCCTCACATACTTGATAAGAATTATATGAGATCATATTCTAGAAGGTCTATGATCTGACACTTCTGTTCTTTAAGATGCATTTGTGACAGAGGTTACACATTCTGGTTAACTAGTTTCACATTCTCTGTGTCAATCTCAATTCTCATGTATGAATTCTCATTCTGATAGCAATTCTGATGAAAGATCTGTTCAGAAGATCTTCTCATGCTTCTTCAGAAGCTTCTTCATACACTTGTTCTTCTATATATTCTTTATCTTGATTCTCTCTGCTTTCAGGTTCTGTATGATATACAGAATGCTTTCAGATGAGATCTTGTAAATCATTCTCTTTACTTATTAATGTATAAGCAGATTTAACTCTTCTATATCAGAGATGTAGAATATTCTTCTCATATCAGTTAATAGAATTATATGAACCATTTTCTTCTTATCAGTTAACTGTATATAACATGTACATCATTGAATCTGTGAATTGAATCTTTGAAATCAATCAAGTCTGAGAATAAGATCATATTTCACATTCTGCAGCTCTTACACTCAAATATAGCAAGATCATTCTCTGAAGTGCAAGGAAACTCTTACTCTTATAGATAATATCAAATATCAGTTATCAGATAATCTTATATATCAGAGATTCTTCACTCAGTGAATCTCTTTCAGTCTTCAGATTATATAATTATTAATATATTATATAGAAGCTTCTGTATTCACTAACACTTTTACAGTCATCTCTTAATTCTTATTCAAGTGTCTCTTATATATTAATATTTCAGGTCTTAAGATATTGAGATGAGTGTTTACTTTATCATTCTCACTCACATCTCATTCAGAAGCCTGCTTTCTTTTAGTGTTTACAGAATTCAGAGAATTATCTAACACAGATATCTCTTTCACTTTAAAGACTTTTCATAGAATATCAGTGAGTGTCTCTGAGCTCACTGATTCTGCTAGT